CTCTAGCTTGTGGTTGTACTGAGTTTCTCAAAGCGAACCATTCATAGTTTGCCCATGTTACTGTTTGAACTAAGTCAGAGTTAGAATATATCTTATATCCCATAAAAACTTCTGGAGCATATTGGTATCCGACATAGAAAATTCCATTGCAACCTTTCTTGTCAGACAACTTGGCAGAAGGTTTTATTTCAATGTCTTGTTCCACGTATAAGAATGAGTTGTCAATAGAAATAATGTGAAACCTGTCGCAAGCAATATCTACTGTTGTTGAAGAACCTTCTCCAAACTCACCTACGTTTCCATAAGAAACAGCAGTTGTATATTCGTAAGTTCCAGGAACTATTTCTGACCTTCTAATGGCATTGTCGCATTTGTTATACCATTCGGAAACATTTCCGTTCATGGCATCCAAAACTGTTGGCGTTATATTCTGAGCAGCGTACATTTCATATGGGTAAAAATATAGAATAGTTGGATTTATATGTCATAATAGAACCCACTCGGACCAAGCTTTACTTTCTTCCTGACTGAGTTTTTAACTGAATCTTTAACTCTTCTTTTTCCTTCATTGCCACTACTTTCACTAGATGAAGTTACTTCTTCACTACTTTCACTTTGTTCTACTCTTCTCTTCTTCTTTGGTGTCGCTTTTGGTAACTTGCCCTCTGCTTCAAGTTGTAGCATCTTTGCCTCATGTTCACCTAGTATGTTGTAAATTTCCCATGTCCTTTTTGCCTTTGGGCTCTGGTCGCCCATCTCAGGTAACCTATATCCTAGAAAGATTTTGTCATAGTTTGTATTTGAGTCTTCGCTTATTGTTTGCATGACTCTTTCCTGAGTTTCCGGTTCAAGCTCTTCAAACAGAGCTTGTCCATATGGAATAAGCTCGTTTCCAAATATATGTTTTTGTAGCCATTCTGGTTTTCTTTCCATGTAACCAATAATATCTTTTGTGAATGGGAAAGCTTTTACCCAACGTTTCAGGCTTGCGTCATTTATTTCTGTAGTTGGTTTTATTTTGTCATGGAACATGTTTTTCATTACTAACATTTCATTTGGTACTGTCCATTTGAGTTTTCTTAAATATTCATCCCTTCTCAGTTCATTGTCTGCAAAGTAAGTTTTTATGACATTTTGCAAACTTTCGTTTGCAAGGTCATGTACAATAGGTTCTCTTCCTTCTCTCTCCCTAACTTTCTTTCTAAACTCTTCACCAAATATACCATCTCTATGGTTCTGTGTAGTTCTTTGAGATAAATGTTCTAGAACGTCAGGTGTTATATTTCCTCAGCCATGTTCATTTCATACTGGTCCAAAATATCTGCATCTTTCATATCTTTCAATGGCATTAAAGCCGCGCTGAAAATACCCGTTATATCTGGTTCACCATTCACTTCCATTGCGTCTACAACTTCTTGGAATTGAGGTTGTAAGTTTATGAACCACCTATCCGGATTAGCTTTATGACCCCATCTCATTGTAGTTCCATAGTCTGCAGAAACAAAAGTAGGTTTGTTTCCATATTGGTTAGGTTCTGAATGAACTTTAAACAATGTTTCATTTCTATATGTTTTGTTGAAATTAAACCTTTTATTTTCACCGAGTTCAGCCAAAGATTGAACGTTATATGGTCGTAAGTAAAAAGGATTATTGTATTTGCGTACATTTTCTTTCAGTACTTCCATTCTATGCTGAATATTTTCATCTGATGTTGGAGTCTTTTGTATGTCGGTGAACATTTTTCGATATTCTTCTACTATGTCAGCCGAATTTTTCTTAGACTCTTGGAAAGATTCCATATTCCTCATACTCTTGTTGAGGTCAAGATTTTTCGGCTGTTCCAAATCTTCATCTAGTTCTGTGAAGTTAGTTTCCAAAGGAGGGACTTGTTTGTTTCCTTCAGGCTCTTCTAGCTGTTGTTGCTGAACTATTTCTTCCATGTCTGGTTGTATCTGAACTTCTTCCTGTTGAGTTTCTTGTACCTCATCTGCTGGCATTTCATATATTCCGAGACCGTTTTTAACAAGTTCCCTATCTAAGTCATCTGGACTCATAAACCTTTCTTCTTTCGTTCCGTCTCTATTTTTTACGCGTTTCATGAAGAGAGTTGAATTATCATTTAGCTCTGACATCAAATATCTCGGAGTAAATTCATTCATGTCATTTGGATGATATGCTATTAAATCATATCCCTTAGCGAGCTTGTATTTTCCAGGTTTGAGATTATATCCGATTTTATGCTGAACCATAAAGCTAAATAGGTTCGGGTCAGTATTTCCTTCCTTGAACTTTCTAATAGCTTCTTTATATCTGTCACTAAAGTCAAGAGTATCTGGGTAACCATAATCTTCCTTAAGCATTTTAAGAATTCTTGGTTTCCGTTTTCTCTACTTCTTTTATGTCCTTGCTCTGTTTGTGGTTGTTGTTGTGCAGGGTTTTGAACTGTTGGTTGCTGTGCTGGTTGTGGAGGTGGTTGTTGTGCTGGTTTTGGTTGTGGTGCAGGTGCTGGATTTTGAACTGTTGGTTGTTGTGCTGGATTTTGAACTGTTGGTTGTTGTGTTGGTTGTTGTTGTGGTGCTGGATTTTGAACTGTTGGTTGTTGTGCTGGTTGTTGTTGTGGTGCATGCCTGTGTCTGTGTCCATGTGACGATGTAAATGTTTTAGGTAGTCCTGGTGCAGGTGCTTCTCTTGGAGGGTTTGGTGGTATATAAGTTCCACCAGCTGGCACATATGTTCCATCTGCAGCATAATGTCCTACCTGACTTTTCGTTTTTAAGAAAGCATTTACTAGGTCTGTTTTGGTCTGTTGTAACTCTTTTTCTTGACTTTCCACAACAGCTGCTCTAACGGCGTCATAGGCACTTTGAACTGCCTGTCTCGTTGCTGCATCTGTTATTTTCGTCATATTTTGTGCTACTTCTCTTAACTCTTTGTCGAAACCTTCAGACTTCAGTTTCTTTCCAGATGAGAAGTCGTTCACTAGTTTTACCTTACTATAAAGAGCTTCGAAGGCATTCTTAAAGTCAGCATTCATTAAAGCTTCATTTGAACTGTCTTCATCCGCTTGTATTTTTGTCCTTATTGATCCTATAAGTTGGGCTGCTTTAGCGTTGGCTTGGGCATCTAACCGGTCATTATTAGCTTTTATATATTCTGCGCTTTTCATTGCCTTTTGCATGGCTGCGTCGTTATTTTTACTTTCTTGTGCTAAGTTTTCATACTGTACGGTTTGGTTTTGCAACTGTAAAAGTTTTTCTGCCTTTACATTTGCTTCAACTTCTTTTTTATACTCATCGCTATCCATATATGTCTTCATGACTTTTTGTTTTATCTCTTCATCTTTCAGTACTTTATATTGAGTAGTATGGTTTTTCAAATTTATAACATCTTGTTCCATTTTTGCTACTTCTGCTGCTTTTTCTGACACTTTTTTCGCATATTTCTCTGTACTTAGTTCTTTCAGTTGTTTTTCTTTCTTCTTTTTCTCTACGTTTAACTCATTTAGTTTCTTTGTGTGTCTGTCATATTCTAGTTTCTTTTCGTTTTCACTTATTTGTTTCTGTATGTCTATGTTTGACTTTTTGACATCTGTTATTTGATTTTTGAGTGAACTCAAATTCATTTGACTTTGAGGGTTATAAGCTGTTCCGTCTGCAGCTCCACCATAGCCTGCCATTTTCGCTAAAAGTGCCGCTCTTAAACCTCCACTCTGTGCACCAATAACTCGGTTTAAAAGCATAGGGTTGCTTGACATTTGTTGCAACATAGTGGAGTCATTCATCATTTGTTGTTGCAACTGTTGTTGTGGTGTCAGTTTTACTATTGGATGTTTCAATGCTCCCTTCCTCTTACGTATATTCTTACGTAGCTTACGTGGCATTTTAAGTGAAGTAAAAAACGGTTTTTGACAGATGTTTATATGACACTTTTTGTTCAGCACAAAAAAACTACTCGGTCAAAGTGTTGTCAGTTTTGAAAAATAACCGTCTTATCTCATTCAATAAGGGGGAAAAGGCTTCTCAAAGTATACTTCCTTGGAACGCCTGTAACTTTTCCTGTAGCGACGATAGACCCTTACTTGTCCGGACAAAGTTATACTATTTTGAGTGCTCTACAAAAAAGTCAACGGCGACGACTCTCAAAAACCGTTGTGTAAAAAGTTTTACCGTTGGACAAAAAAGTATATATAGAAAACAAAACACGTTTATAGTTCATTCAATATTTGAGATAACCCGTTTTTCCAACGGTAACTATTAAATAAAATAAAAAATAGAGGGTGTTACCGTTGACGAAAACGGTTCATCTCAAATATTTAAATATCTGTCTTTTTTGGTCAGTTCATTTTTATCTAATGGAAGCCCCACTCGCCACATCCTTTATAATGTTGAGAACTTTATACCAAGTTCGTCAAAATCTTCCTCGTTACATCCAACGGTCATTCGACACGAGAATTGCCGAATTCACACCAGAAGACTAACAATTTTCCGAATAAAAACTTCATTTATACTAAACATCTTCGGGGCTAGAGGGCGCAACGCGCCTGGAAGCCCCACTACCTTTTTTTTAAAATAGTTATATATTAGAAAATAATATGAGTTTATGTGATATTATTTTTCAGAAGATTTTGTGTTCTTCTTCAAAATTTTATTTTTTTATTAAAAAGAATCTTTACAAAATATACATTTACTTTAATTAATATTTAAAAACGTGCTCTATCAAAAGTTCCAAAAATTCAATATTTTAGCTTTTCTGAGGTGTCACTTTTGATGAATTTCTGTTTACAACAGAATCAAAGCATATAATGTGATTACTTTGTATGGTGATGCTAATTTCAAAAAATATGGACTAAACTCCTAAAAATTTGTAATAGAATGAAATAATTCGTATAAAAAACGGCCTGAAAGAACGAACACATGACTAGTGAGCACGTGAGAATATTTCCAAATGCGGGAAAAATCAAAATCATTCATTTAAAAATTCATATTTAAAATAACAAAAAATTATAAAAGTACAAGGTCCGTTTTGCTAAATGAATTAGTAGGCCTTACCTTGAGGAGTTTCTGGTTGGTAAGAGAAGTAGATCTCTTGCAAACCGAAGATTTACCAAAATCGATTTTGGCGATTCTTGAAGCAGCAATTCTTTCATTAAGATTCTGGTCGCTTTTAACATTCAAGCGAGGAATAGAACAACGTCCATGAGTTATCCAGACATGGTTGAGTGCCTGAGTTATTGAAAAACGACAGGCATCATCAACCATCATCATTTTTTGGATAAAATTCGTGCATGGTGTTGAATTATGTAGAAGAATTGGAGGTGGTTTAATAACTGAGCCTGGTACTTCTTCTACTTGTCGAATGTTTGGCCATGGATAATGGCCACTAATCAAATTGTAAGTTAGGATACCTATCGACCACGAATCTGCTAATTGAACTAAAAACTTTTGGCGTGAAAAGAATTCTGGTGGAGCAGTATATAAAGAATGTGGATATTCATTAATGAACTCATCCTTATTATATTGACAATTAAAGGAAAAGTCGAGAATTTCGATGAAGTCGTTTTTGTCCATATAAACATTTGATAAACATAAATTTAATAAGCCATACCCTTGTGAATGACAGTAACATGCAGCGGTTAATACCTGTTTAATAATGCCGGATGTTTGTTGTTCAGTCAGCTTGCCTTGGCTTTTTAGCATTTCTGCGAGATTTATTCCGACAGGTATATTATATATAGCGTAAAAGGCATTATCATCTTGTGCAGTGTCAATACATTGAACTATGTTTTCGCATTTGATTGATTTTGTTCGTTCCATCGGATTAATTTTAAAACCATATTCTCTAGACATCTTTTTTATAAAAGCAGGTTTTGTGGTAAATTCTCCAATAGCTTCAAATACTGTATATTGATCGCCAGTTGCTACAATTCGCCCTATTTCAAATGTATCGATATCTGATGAAACTTTCATTGTAAAAAAATGAGAAAAATTTCATAAAAGATGAAGGATTTAACCAAATATTTAATTACTTTTGCACTCCTTTTACGAAATTTTGTGAATCACAATTTGCTCTTAATTTTTGGATTTTAATGAAATAAATTGAGTGTAAGATATATGAAACAATAATATAAAAGTTTGTCTAAGTTTTGATAGCTTGCTTAAAAATTGAATATACATTGATTTCGAATTTTAAAATTTTGAATGATTTTTGACGCCTCATTCAAAATTGCATCGAAAAATATTTAGTAATATGAATATCACTAATAATTTAACAAAAGTTTGAAAAAGCTAACGTACAATTTTTTTATAACGAAAATAAGATTATATAAAAAAATTAACGTATTGTAATTTTATTATACCGAGTAGCTTTTAACGTATATCTATTGAAATGAACTTTACAATTTTTCTACATGTATTAATGTAGATTATTACTACTTTAATATTATTTTTATCAGATAAATCGAATTCAGAAGTAATGAAAAAATCAAAATCAAATTCTTGCAATCATTCCTAATAAATCTGTTTGACAGTACACCAATATATAAATTAGAATTATTTTATCATTTGGTTAAATGGATCATCGAATTTGTTCAAATTTGAATTCAAAATTTTATTTAGTGGGTAAATAATAGCAAAGAGAGATTCATTTATTATGTACTTCTATAGTTAATGATGATGTCATGTGAAATTCGTAATATTATAAGCGATTGGTTATTTCCTATATCTAAAAAATGAATGGAAAAGATTTCAGCATTTGAATGTCATTAATCCCTGATTTATGGTTATTATGATCACTAACCAGATCATACGCAGCTAACACTAAATCTTCTTTATTCAGATGATGAAAATGGGATTACACCCCTATATATTATAGTAAATAATAACAGAAATTGAATTATGTTTGAGCATCATTTTGTGAATGGTGAAGAAATTAACCACTTAAGAAATGATTTTTAGGTATTCGATATTAATATTTAAACCAAGTTAAACTAAATACAAAATATTTACTATAAATATGAACTTCCTAAAGTGTTTCTATTGTGCATGCCATGAAAATGATTAAATAAAAATAATAACAAAATTATAAAAATAAATTTTAATATACAAACAAATAACAACAATAAAACAAAGCATAATATATTAATAGTTGGACAGATTACTAATAGTTTGAGTAATTCTTGAAGAATTCTGTTGCTTGAAATATTTCTTTCCTTTTGGTGGAATCTTCTCTTCAGCACCAGCAAATTTTGTTTCATAGAGTCTACTAATCTTATTTAGCTCTGGTCTAGAAGTCATGGCCATTTCAGGTTCATCATCAACTGGTTTTCTTGCAGAAAGAGAACTTATTGTCCTTGTGAGCTCCCTTTCTTTCTTTGCATTCAACGATGCAACGTGAACGCGATCACCTAACCCAGATGTAGATACTCTTACAAATGGAACTTGTTCAGGTTCATCGTGGTATAACATTTCTGTCATAGTGCGAGCACTAAGTGATGTATAAGCTCTTGACTGAGATCTTCTAAATGTCTTGTAGTTTCGACCACTAAGTTGCTTTTTCATTCTATTATCGAATTTTTCCATGTATTGTTCTTCCCAATCTTGATGCATTTGATCTGATTTACGTTTTTGATTAGCTTCGTGAACCATAAGAAAGTCTTGTACGTTTCTTTGAGAATTTAAATCTTTTTTCAAGCGATTATATGATGGAGTATCCATTGTTCTTGACTTTGGTAATGGATCTTTAAGACTTTGTGCCGTTTTTGGTCTGGTTCGTTTTATTGATACTGTTGGTTCGGGAAATCCTTTAAAATCTTCTTCTGTAATCTCTTCTGGTTCTTCAAGTTCTCTCTTAATTGGTTTGGCAGATGAAATTAATGGTTTAGCACCAATTAAAAGAAAGTCTAAATTATCTTTTGTATGTTTATCTATAACTCCATTCATATATCTGCCATTTTTCTCCTAGACACTTATAGGAATAAGGAAATGCTTTCATGAAATAATAATAACTGACGAAAATTACTTAAAAATAAAAATCAAATATAATCAATTATTCACATTAGATGTCATCATAATCGAGAAAAAGCAGCTATAGTATTACGGTTGGCTGATATCATCATTAAACATATGAGGTGATTAAATAACGAGTTTTTGTTTTAATAATCTATCCGTATTCAATTCAAATTTTGAATTAAAATTTGGTATTATACGGAATAATTATAAAACAATAAATGGAAATAATTGACAAGTTTGATGACAAAGCTTTGTCATTTTTGACAGATCTTTCCATTTCAAGAGTTCACATTCCAATGATAAAAATTAATATCAATTTTTTTATCTCACCATTTATTTTTGACAATTATGTTTTTTGTTCTTCTTTCGCTTATCCTTTCATTACAAGAGGGCCAAAATGTTGAATATGCTGATTTTGGCAATGAACATAATAATAGTGGAGAAGTAAAAGAAGATCATTTCGATTATTTAGCACTTGAAAATCAAATGCAGAATTTTTCATTAAAATTTGATAAGAATCAAAAAGCTCAAAATGAAGGAGCTGATACACTTCAAAATAAGCCTATTGATTTCGAAAATAAGCCAAAACACCATCATAGAGAACGAGGAGAGCATAGAGTAATAGGATCTTCATCAAGAAGACAACAGCATCGTCATTCTCGTTATACAAAAGAAGATATTGATTACGAAAAAGCACTACGCGACCAATCAGATCGAATTTTCCAAACAAATGGAAAGGTTAACAAAAACAAACATGGAAATCGACAAGATATGAGAAGAAATGATAAATATGACGATGAATTCAATAAAAATGATTTAATTAAAGAAAAAATAAAAGAACCTCTTCAAGAAGAACAAGAATTACCAGCCATTAATGAATCAATAGCTAACGAAACTGATACTCTTAATCAATCAAGTTCATTTACAAAACCTAATAAAAATGAAAATCAAAATCAAGAAATAAATGTATCAAATATTACAGATCTTAATGTAAACGACGATGTACAAGTCAATTTTACTAACAATGAAGAAAATTTGACAAATTCAGATTCAATTGAAGAAATTGTTCAGATTGAAAACGAAACCATTTTAGAAACAGCTAATGTATCTGTAGAAAATGCTACAATTCAATCAAATAATAATATTTTGAATGAAAATAATATTTCAAATTCAGAAGTCGAAAATTTGCAAAAAGAAGACAATGATTCAGCAAATATTAGTCAAAATAATGAAACTATTGATCAAAGAATTGAAGAAAGCGATCAAATTGAAAATGAAGAAATAAATCAACAAAAAGAAGTTCAAAATGAGAAAAGAAATGAAAAAGAAGGCAATCCTGATGATTTCTATTCCAATCAAGATGATGAAGACCAAATGCACAGAAGAGGAAAAGGAAAAAGAAGAAACAACTTATACAGACATCACAAAAGAGGTTACAATGACTACAATCACAGGAGATCAAATAAAAGATCAAGACATGATGACTACTATTACAGATCCAGACGAGATGAATACCAAAAAGACCAAAATGAATTTCAAAATGAAAATCAATTGAATTCAAAAGAAAATAAACAAAATGAACTTCCTTCTGTCACTTTTTCTGATGAAAATGAAAGTCAAAAGGAAATTGAAATAAACGAAAGTATTGAAATAGATATCAAACAAAACAAGGAAATCTTAGAAAATGAAACAGAAATTCAAAATCAAAATGATTTGAATGAAACAAAAGTCAATGAAACTGAAACTTTCAAAGAAAATGAGGGAAAACAAAATAAAGAAATCAATGAAAGTAAAGAATCCCAAATTGATGAATTAGAAGATGATGAAATCAAAGAAAATAATGAAAATCAAACTGAGAATATTGAAGAAAAAGAAAAAGATTTAGAAGGAAATAAAGAAAAAGTAAATGTTTCAGAAAATGAAACAGATTTAATTGAAGATAATTTAGAAAATGAAAAGGATTTAGAACAGCAAACTGAGAAAAATGAAAAAGAAAGAATAAATAAAGAGGAAGAAATCGAATTCATTGATGATTTAGATGTTGATTACAAAAGAAAAATCAATAAAACAAAATTAAAACATCAAAATCAAAGATTAAATGAAAAAATCAAACGAATCAAAGAAGTTTCCGAAGAAGAAAATGAAACTAAACATCAAAATGAAGAAATTTCTCATAAAGAAGATGAAAAGAAAGTTGATGAAGAAATCAAGCAAAAGAATGCAACAAAGATTGAAGAGAAAAACATCAAAATTGATGAAGAAGTCAATAAATCTAAAGAAATAGAAAAAGAAAATGATCAAATTATTGAAGAATTCGAAGAAGAAAAACCAAAGAAAGAAATGAAAATTGAAGAAGAAAATAAACAACATCTAAATGAAAAAGAAGAAATAGAAAAATTAACACAAAACAATGAGAAACAAAAACAAAAAATGGAACATCCAAAAGAAGATGATGAAATTGACCAAGATGAAGAAATCAACAACAAACAAAATGAAGATGAATTAGATAATCAAAACATCACCAAAAATAATGAAATTGATAACGAAAAAGAAGAGAAACAAATACCTGAAAAAGACAACAAACAAGAAGATGAATTTGATGAAGAAAATATCAAAGAAAATGATGAAAAACAAAACAAACAAAAACAAAATGAAGATGACTTTGATGTTGAAAAAGACAACAAACAACACAATGAACATGAAGATGAAAAAGAAGAAATTGATGAAGAGGAACAAAAGAATCCCAGAAACAATGAAGATCAATTAGAAATTGAAGATTTTGAAGAAGACAAACACAAACGTAAAAATAGTAAATTTAATAATGAACACGAGTTTGAATTAGAAGATATTGATGAGAAGAAACAAAAGAATTATAATTATAACAAAGAATTCAATGATGAAGATCAATTCGAAGAAGAAGATTTCTACAACGAAAAACATAACAAACACAAAAACAATAAATATAATAATAAACATGAAGATGAAATAGATGATTTTAGTGAAAAGAAACAAAAGAATCATAGAAACAATAAATACAAAGAATTTATTAATGATGAAGAATTCGAAGTAGAAAAACAAAAGAAGCACAAAAACAATAAATATAATGATGATGAAGATTTTGATAAAGAAAAGAAAAGTAAACACAATAAATATAGTGAAGAAGATCAATTTGAAATAGAAGATTTCGAAGAAGAAAAACAAAAGAACCATAGAAACAACAAGTACAAAGGATTTAATTATGAAGAAGAAAAACAGAACAAACATAAGAATAATAAATATAATGAAGAATATCAAATAGAAGATTTCGATAACGAAAAACATAAGAATAATAAATATAATGATGAATTTGAAGATTTTGAAGAAGAGAAGAGAAACAACAAAAGGTATGAAGATGATCATTATTATGGAAGTAGATATGATGAATTTGATGAGCAAGAGCCAAGAACATCAAGAAAACAGAGAAGAGGCAGAAGAAACAATTACTATGACGAAATAAATGAATTAGAAAGAAGAAACAAAAGAAAGAAGTCACAAAACAATTACAAATCAAATAAAAAAGTTCAGAAATATATTGATGAATTCGATCAACAGTTTTCTGATGCCAGAAGAAGCAACAATCATGAATTTAATGATTTCCCAGACAAAAACAAATTCAACAACAAAAATTCAACTTCTGGAAAAGAAATTAAAAATAATTTCATGTCAGAACAAACAAGTACAGACAGTTTTACAGAGGAAAATGATAAGAAGTTGAAGAAGATCTATGATGAAATCAATAATAAGTTCGGAAATGATAATATTGGTGAATCTGAAGGAATTTCCGAAAATTCAACTGAAAAAATAGAAAATCAAGAAAAAGAAGAACAGAAATCAAATGTAGATGAGAGTAAAGGCATAAAAGAAGAGAAATCTGAAGAAAATGAACTGGAAAAAACAAAAATTGAAAATAATATCTCTCAAAATCAACAAAATGAAGAAAAAGAAAACAAGAATGATTCAAATGATGTAAATATTGACCATAAACCAGAAAATAACTCTAATAAAGAACAAATAAATGAGATATTAAAAGAAGTGGACGAAGACATCAAAAAGATGGAAGAACGTCATGGCAGGAATCCAGACATTCCATTTATTAGTTACGATGATGACGATGACGAAATTCAAATTGCTCCAAGGCGAAGAATGAAGATTTGCAAGCAGAAATGCCACATATTTGCACAATGCGTATCAGGAGAATGCATTTGCAGACATGGTTATGCAGGAGATGGCGTAAAACTTTGTACAGATGAAACATTAGAAATAGAATCCATAAATCCGAACTTTTCTTACCTAAATGAATCAGTAGAAGTCGAAATTAAGCTCATCAACGAGATAAAAATCATGAATTCTACTTATGTTCGGTTTGGAGGACAAATTTGTTTCCCAAAGTTCGCCCAAGGGCATAAAATCATCGTAGACTCGCCTAAATCCAAGAAGGTACAGATTGTTAACGTATCTGTTTCTTATGATATGAAGATTTGGTCAAAGAAATCTCAGGAATTCCAGTACAAACCAAATATATTCAAAGTTATGTATAAATACAAGATATTTGTATTCCAAGTACTCATTTTAGCTGCTTTAGGTGTTATTATTTTGGTTAAAAAGAAAATGGGCAAATCTAAAGGTCAAGCAAAGTCTATTGTTCCTCTTCTTTCTGGAAGAGATCAGATTGATGAGGGAAACAACATTGATTTCGAGAACGAACCTTTAAAGCCGAAGAAAAGATCTCTTTATGAATAAATTTTATTATTTTGTTTGAAAATCAATTTCTACTAAACATTTTGTATATACTTGCATCTTACATTATATTTTAACAATGTTAAACACCAAAATATGTATCTTTTTAAATTATTATCAATATTTGAGATATCTTTGAATTCTATGATGTACCCGGCAAATCATCACTTAATAACCATAATGGGCTGTTATTCGTAATACTTTTCCACCTAGATGATGAAAAATTGACTAATTCATCTAATATCTAACTTTACTTGTAATTATGGCATCAAAATATCATACAATGTCCATGATAAAGCACGGTAAATAATAGTGGAAAAAGCATTCATATTCTTGTTGGTCAAATTAAAATGTTTTTATTTATGATTTTTCATTTGACTCAAATTAATTTCGATTTCGGTTTAGAATACTTGAAACTGCCATTGCGCGTTCAGCACCAAAGAAAAGATCTTGTCCCATCCAATTATGGTATTCATCACGAGATGGGATTTGGAGGCCTGTATCTGGGTATTTTCCGGAATGAATTCCAGCACTGAATTCCATGGACAACTCAAGTAATTTCATGCCAAAACTATTCAATTTGCCCGTTTTGAAAACTTCGTAATGCATACCAATAACATCAAAAATATATGACCATGCATCGGCAATCTTAGCATCGCAAACATCGACAAGGTATGTGGACTTCTTGCCATCGGATTCGATATCTTTCAAGTTGTGAGCAATAATCAATGCAATTGTCTGATTTAACTTTTCGATGTTTGCATTTAACAATGGATGCCTAAATTCGTCGCTTAAATTGAAGCGCATATAGGAAACATAGACTGATTTCATGATGCAATACCTATATGCTGTTGGTGTAACAACATACTTGTCAAACCACATCTTTGCCAATTCGTTTGGACGTCTAGCCAATTCTCTGAAATGGGCTGCAATTTCATCAGGAATGGCCACCTGAAGCATAGGTGTGGCGTTTTGTCCCGCATTTGGCTTACTCCGCATTATAAGAAGTGATTTAAAAATGAATGTTCTATTCAAATTGTTTTTTCTAAAGAACAAATTTTAACGAATTGACAATTTGAATTGAAGTTCAAAATGAAAGAATGAAAAGTAGAGTTCATAAGGTTGAATACATAAGTAGAGTTTAATGTAGGAATGAAAGAAATTCAATTTATTCTCAATAATTAATTCAGTTAAATTCTATATCAGCGCAAAATATTGTTACCAATGTGTTTCTTGTTCAGTCTGGTTTATTTACGAACAAAAAACGCACATTCAATAATTTCTTTGAAAATTGAGATGCCAAAAAACACAACTATGCTTAAATGATACTAATGATATAATATATTTTTAAAAAATTAAAACTAAACGTACAATCCCTCAACTCCAACATTTGAATGAAAATTGAGATGATTTTTCAAGTGTAATCATTGTTTACTACGGAATGCGAATTATTGATCAATATCTTATATCATTTATATTAATCATTTAATTTTGGGTTATAAAATGAATAAATTTTCGGATTTTTTTAAACATCGATTTTCGCTTGATATATTTGCATATATACATTTATAAGGTGAATCTTCCCAATATTTGTGGTTGTAGATGTTAACATTAAACTTCAATTTTCGGTAATTCAATTCCTCGGAAATATATCATATATTTTTAACTTCGGTGACATCATCACATCCGGTTATTGTATAGTTATCAGTGGTGATTCATCTTGATATTTAATATTTTTCAATTGGAATTCTCAGATTAACAGTATAGAATCTGCATTCTCGCACACTTGTATTACATATGCATTATATGAAAGTGTGCGAAAATGCACTCAAAACATCATAAAACTGGATGAATACGATTCTGAATCTTGAAAAAATGATTAAAACGATATGCAATTTGGGGATTCGTTTGAAAACGTATTAATTAAGCTGTTTGCACTTAAATCGACGGGTTTTGATATATTTGAAATTTTTCTAAGAAATTACAATAAAAGTGACATAGAAATGGAAAGTAATACAAATCAGAACCTTCCTGAACAAAAGAAGAGGAAGGTAAAGAATGCATTTACAGAAGAAGAGGACCAGAAACTTATTACTCTTGTTAGAGAGTACGGATGTTCAGATTGGAATACAATTGTTCACTTTATGCCGGGTAGAACAACAAGACAAATTCGTGAAAGATACAAATTATATCTGGCACCAGAAATTAAGAGTGATCCATGGACAGAAGATGAAGACAAATTACTTCACGAACTTTATGCAAAACACGGCCCGAAATGGGCAACTTTTACACCATATTTTAACAACAGAACACCAATAAATATCAAAAATCGTTATAAACAAATCATAAGACACGTTGTAAGACAAAATCGAAAAGGAATTAAAGCAGAAGTTACAGATCCTCTTGTCATTACTCATAATATGTGCATGGAAAAGATAAGAGGTGAAAAATTAAAGATTCTCATTCAAATTCACAATCAAATTGAACAAACTAAGACTCAGCAACTCCAACAGCCAGAAGCATAATATATTTTCAATTTCACAGTAATTACTTACAATTTCTTTGTTTTTTAATGATTTTTTGAAGAAATTTTATCATTTTTGTTTATGATCGAATTCTATGAAGTTTTCTCATGGAAATACAGATCACATTCCTATTGATTATTCATGTATCCTTGTTTTGTTTTCTTTTTTGCGTTTTTTATAATAAAAGAAATTTTATTTTGAATTTGTTTACTGTTTATTGCATCTAATGAGTATATCAGTGAGTTATCGCGTAAATTATTAAGATTAAAATAAAAAAATGAAAAAATTATGATTTAGACGATTTATTATAAGGAAAAACTTTTGGCTTATGACATTTACTTTTACCTGTGAAATTACTGATAAACAAAGAACATGGATTTAAGCGAGTTGTACTGAATAATTTTGTATTAAATCCATAAACGTGTCTTGGACAATGCTCTGTTGAGAACAAATCCAAAATCATCTGTGGGGTTTCAGGTTTATCTGATGAAAATGTTCCAACACCTGAATAAATCTTTGAACTATCAGAGACAATCAAACAATTTGAAAGAGTAATATTTGCATAATTCATTCCAAGCAAAGAATCTTCACCTTGATTGTTATTTGCAAAATAACAATTTTCGACAAGAATGTTTCCATTAGCATAATTTATCATTCCTGGATATTCAGGATCGCTTTCAGATACTGTATTGTTTGTAACTATTATGCTACGATATACACTGGCAGAATCTTGAGTAATAATTCTTTTGGCTGCTTTGTTTTGATCAAATAATGTAAAATTTACAAAGCCTGGTGCTGCATGAGTACCTAATGCAGAGTTAAATTCGCAGCAATTTTTTGTTAAGTTATTCCTTGTAAAAGCGAATTTCCCAGAATCGACGCATATTCCATTGTATCCTATATTACTTCCACGATTGCTATTTAAGACTGATATTTCTGTATAAAAATTTAATCCAGCTTCAGTCGAAATTTGAATAAAAGCAAATCTAGCACCATAAGATGATGTAGACATCGATCCAATGCTGCAAACTTTTCGAAGAGCGCTTTGGTTGCATTTGACTGTAATGGAGCCTCCTTGGCGTTCTTCTGTATTTGAAGAATTTATAAAAGTGCACGAAGATATTAAAGAATAACCATTAGAATCTAGATGTATTACTTCAAAATCTCCTAAATTAATAAAAAACACGTTTGTGGTATAAAAGTTTCCTGAATTTACGTTATATATCTTGTTTTCGGTATTTGATGGAGGTTCATTTGTATGATGTATATCTTCCCATTCACTAGTGTGCAGGTTGATGATATATTGCTGGAATTTAGATAAACCAGAATTGGAGAAATCTTCAAAAAGTTTCCCAAGCAAATAAAAAATTGTCAAAATCTCTAAAATTTTGTCATATCATTTCATTATTTTGAAAGGCAATTAGACTGTCTTGGATATCTATAAGATATATGAAGCTTCCATCTTCAAACTAACAGATAAAATGCAATTGCTATTGAAGAAGCATAATCACAAGTATATAGCATGAGACTTATTTAAATGATTCCTTTATAAATTTCATCTATTGTATTATGCGCAATCATTTAAGGTAGATCAATAAGCAGGAGTCTCGAATATGAATGAATAGCAAAATAAAAAGAATATGTTTTTACTCAATTTATGATTGAAGAGCATCATTTAGATTACTCATAAATGATGAGTAAATTTTTGAGGCTGTAATAATATTAGAATAAATTTGATAAACATTCCCTGGGCAACATTCTGTTGAATATAGGTCTAATACAATCTCTGGTTGTTGTGGGCATTCAGTCTTAAATGTTCCAGGTCCTGAATGAATTTTTGTATTATTTGAAACTATCAAGCATTTTGAGAGCGCTATTGTAGCTGAGAATGCTCCAAATAAATAATTTGGCCCTTGATTATTATTAACAAAATAGCAATTTTCAAAAAAACTTTTCCCTTCACTGCAATCAATCATTTCTGGAAAACGGTAATCAACTATTTTTACTGTGTTATTCGAAATTATTAAGCTATTGTAGTGAATTTCTTGAAATATTTGCATAATAAGTCTAGAATCTGATTTGTTATCATCAAAGAAAGAATAATTCACCTTTCCATGTGTAGATTCAATGCCAATGGCTGAATTATATTTACAGGAATTTTTAGTTAAATTATTTTTGGTGAAAGAAATTCTTCCATTGAGGATATATATCCCATTATATCCAGAAATATAACCTTGATTATTGTTAAATATGGACATTTCTGAATAATAATTTAAACTATTTGCATCATTTGCAACTTCAATCCGAGAAAATCTACCACCATTACCAGCTGTAGATTTAGATCCAATACTGCATACTTTTCGAAGAGCACTTTGACAATTCTTAATTGTAATTGAACCTCCTTGTTGATCTCCTGTGTTAGAGGAATTTAAAAACGTACAAGAAGATATTAAAGAGTTCCCATTGGCAAAATCTAAGTATATTACACCGGAATCTCCTAAGCTATGGAAAACTACTTTATTTGCATAAAAATCACCTGAATTTACGTTATATTTCTGATTTGTTGTGTTTGATTGTGGTTCGTTTGTATGGTAAATGTCTTCCCATTCACTATGATGCATGGTTCTAATAGATTTGACATAAAAAATCGAGAAATCAGTCCCGATCAGGAAATTTGATTGGCCCTCTCAAATTTTCTTTGGAATTGGATTAGTGTCAGATTTCAAATAAAAATCAAATATATTTGGTTCGGAATTGTGAACACAATATTATGATTCGAAATAGAATAAAAATTTTCGTTTTTTAATTCTTTATTATACTAAAATAACTTAATAAGATCAGATTAATTGTCTGATAGATTTGGAATGCTGCTATCCCTAATGAACCTGTTGATTCTTGGCTCAACAGTGTCCGGAGAAGTAGATTGAGTTTCAATAAACTGAACTGACGCTTTTTCGACTGGTTCTTCATCGTAGTCGTCGTAGCAGTCGAAGCTATTGTCAGCAGAGCTATGTCCGTCGGAGAAAACCTCTTCTTCGTTGAAATCATCTTCGGCGATGTTGAATTCCGTGTCTGGATAGACTGCGTGGTCATCGTACGTGGAGAACGCCGAGTGAGGAATTCCTCCTGCGTATGGTGTGTCTCTTAGCTTGATTCTTGGTGTCAATTTCGTAGATACAAATTCAATCCATTCATCTGTTTGGAGTTCTGGGATATTTTTGGTACGGGCTGCAATGTATTGGGCAAAGGCTGTTATTTGGCCGTTCGTTTTGCTCTTTCCGAATGTTTCAATAATTCTATTTACGATTTTATGTTCTTTGATGATATTTGAGAGCTGGTCGTCAGGAACTTCGGATATAATGTGGATAAGAGCTAAATCGAGACCTGTATTTCCTTTGTTTTGGAAGAATGAATCGATAAAAGTTGGAACTCCTGTTTTGAAGAGTTTTAAGGCTGTAGCTGTAGCGCATGTGACTTTGCTTGCATCAAATGTATATTTATTTTCGAATTTGTTGACGAGATCGTGGACAAATGGGAAGCAATGAGTTAATTTCTCAACAAATAAGAAGCATTCGGAAGCAAGAAGTGGATCCTGTGTTGTAACACCGATATTTAATATTGTCTCGACGATTTGAGGATCATTGAAGAAATTATAGTGATGAGATTGAAGTTTGCAAATAATTCTAAACGCAGAGATGAAATTGTATGGGTTTGCGACTGATGGAAGGTGTTGGCAAATTTTCTTGATAGTTTCAATGGTAAAATCGAAAGATTCTTTGAAATCTGTTGCCAAAACTATAACAAGCTCACGGAGAGCTAAATTGTGCATATGAGTAAATAAGTATATCTTCAATTCAGGGAAATCGCGGATTATTTTACCGGAACTCAAACGGGCTGATGAAATTAAAATTCTTTGGAAATGACCAGAAACCATTGGGTCCTTGGAGTATTCTGAATTTATGAATTGCTTGAACTGGTTCAATAAAAATCCATTTTGAATCAATTTCGTTTCAAATCCAAGGATATCAGAAGTTAATAAAGAAATGCAAATAACTGCAGATCTTCTAAAGTGCTCCTTCTTCATCATTTTAGTTGTCAAAGTATAGTCCATCAGAGAGTTCAAGATGTCTTCACGTGAAAGGAAGTCTACAAATTCTTGTATTGGACTTTCTATGGCGTGAGAAATGTTTGGATCGAAAATAATGTCATCAAGTGTCGTCTCTGGTTTTTTAATAAGTTCTGAAATGGATTGTGGGAAGGAGGGTTTTTCGTACCCAGTCATTTTTAAATTTAATAATTTTTCCGTGTAAAATATTCAAAAACAGAAGAAAAACTTTTTATTTGGATAAATTTATGGAAACAACTCATTTACTAATGGATTTTTGAGTCAATGTTTTGTTATAATAAATTTTCGCTTTCTTTGTGTAAATTTGTGTCGATATTGAATTTTAAAAAGCGATTTATCAATGGCAAGCTTACCACCCTATTTGTGTGATGGATTAACCCTTTTTTATTCAATATTTCAGCAGTTCCATTTATATAAATCACTCTCGGGATTAATCAATCATGATAAAATTGATTCTCATTTTAGGAATTTTGTTGCATTGCTTCAAAAAATAAAATACACAATGATTGATATGCATTAAAAAATATGAACAAATTTTATCGAGAAGCGCAATGATAACCATCTATATTTGATAAGTCTTTGAAATCTTCTAATTAGAAAATATTGATTGTCATACACTCATTGTTCAATATTTGATTTTTTGAAATATTTTTTCATAATGCTAAGAAATATATTCGAGAACCTAATGATAGTGTTGTATTTTTATGCTTTTAATTACCGATTATTAAACGATACATTTAATGATAAAATTATTTTTTTGATTAATTCATGTATCGAAATATAATTTATCAATATTAATTATATATATATAACTTATATATATTATTTTTATCATTAATAGAGGTCGTAACGACATTCATAAAAAGAAGAAATATTTGAATGTTCTGTTGAAATCTGAAAATTCACAATTTGATGATAATTATGGTGATTTATGGGTATTCTAATGCACAAATGTTTATCTAGAGTATCTGTCATGACATAACGTGTTTTGAATCTGACGTTTCGAGCGGATAACAAAAAAATCTCAACAATTCCTCGCTAATAGTCTATCTCGTTCATATTTCAAAATATTATCGGATATTAATCTGATTCGTATCAGAAAAAAAAGTATTGATTCAAACTAAATACATGATGTATTTAAATTGTAAACTATTCAATATTGAATAGTTTACAAAAAGGCATTTTATGATGCCAATGCGCAAATATATAATATAAATGAAGTATTCATTTTATTTTAGAGTTTTTAGACCTAAGTATTCCCAAACTAACACCTTCTGAGCACTGCGATTTAATAATAATTGATTTGAAATCATAATTCGATTAAATATAATTTTCTCATATTGAGAAAGATATATATAAATGTATACTTTATTGCAATGCATATCGAGATATCAAATTGGATTTTTGTATTACGATATGAAAAAAAATAATTAATCTTATATAAAGCACAAATCTAATGATAAATTAAAACAAATAATTTCGAATTAATTGCTCTTTAATTTGTTATCCATTTATATTTTCCCGTAATAATTCAAATCCGAAAAAACTTTCAAAAAACGCGGAATATTACTCAGATTAATATTTTGACCAGTTTTCAAGAAGATTTATGAGCTATATGTTATGAAATGATTTCATTTCTATGGCATTTTTCGAAAAAGTAATGAAAAATATTACGTCGATATTTTTCTAATTCGATTAAGAGTATGCTATTAAATTAAAAGATGAAGAGAAAAAAATATAATGGGTTAACTTCTGATCAGATATCCAACTGATCTTTTAATTCAAAAATTGAGAGACCAAAAAACTATCTTAACAAATTTGAATTGTGTTGAAAAGAGTTAGAAAATTAGTTTTCTGATTATTGATCGCACTGTATAAATATCAAAAAATTAGAGAAAATTTATGTATTGATTCAAATTAATTCAATCTGATCTCACAAAATATTTTAAATTACAAACTTTGTAGTTTGAATAGATAATTAGTAGTAAACTCAAATAACTAGTTTATTTTTGAATAAAAATTATTTGAATATATTCAATTTTGTGAATTTTCCTTCAAAAATCAAGTTTAAATATTTTATTTGCCATATAATTATAAATACAATGAAACATATTCGAAATTGAAAAGAATGACTTTTTCTGTTCTTTCAATTATTCAATTTGAATTTTGCAATATTGGATTTCTCATTAAATAGCTATTAAAAACAACAAGCAATTTAACTTACATTCAAATTTATTTGTGTTATATTCAATCTTCTCAAAACTTATAATTTTCGGCTATAGCATGATTATATGCTATATAATATAATAAACCTATAATAGTATCATTCTTTCAATTATTTGAAGAGAAAACCGAAAAAATCTATTTTCGGTCTATAACAATTCAAACCGACAAACTAATGCAATTGAGAATTGAAAAATTGATGCAGCATTATAATGTACTATCATTATTAAACTGAAAATATTTTACAAATCGAGAAGTTGTATAAAACGTGCATTTTCGAGCCAAAGGTTTTAAATATCAGCTTGGGTTCCCTCATATTGATTAAAATAATAGTTTTTCAGCATAAAATATCGTCATAAATATTTGTAATTACAACGAGAAAAATGGTAGTTTTGGTTAATCGATACTAAACAGAGATTTATTCAATGTATGCTTGAATAGAATGTTGAGCCTTTCTTCTAATTTCGCAGAGAAAACTGTCAATACCGCTTGATTCTCCGAAATCTATCTGAAAAGCGGGTAACTTAGTCTTCTTTTCCATTGTCGGTAAACTTATATTTTGTCTTATCCGGAGTTTTGGTTTAAATCTTTTCTGCAAATGGGTATACCATCTATTTTTAATGTTATTGGAGGATCTACCGGCAAAATACTTAGCTATCTGTGACCATTTGGTTCCATACACGGCAAAGAGCTGCTCCAATAAACGATCATCTTCACTGGACCAAGGTTCATTTGTCAAACCTTTCTCCAAATAGTTCATATATCTATCTCGGCACTGACGAGATGTTCTTCCTGGAAGAGCCTGAGCAATTGTGTTCCATTTTCGGGCTCCATATTTGGCAACTTGTTGTTCTAAAATAAAATCTTCTTCAGGAGTAAACTTTATACGCTTTGATTTGCAATCAGCCATTGGGCTACTCATTTTTTCATCACCGGAATAATCATCGGATGTGAACGTCATATAAATTGTTGTGAATAAAAAAATATGATTTGAGAGTGCATTCAATTTGTGAAGCGAATTTAAGGGTGCACACGAGAGGATCATGTAAACTTCAGAATTTAGAACCTTATTTTTAGGCATTATCTTGGCTACCTATTTAGGCTCGAAAAGCAAAAAATATCAAAAAATACAACTTGACTCCATTCTGACCCTTTCATGGAGGTAGTTTTTATCCGCTAGTATTTTCCCTTTGAATCTCTTTACAAATCGAAATCAAATTCAAAACTCAGTAGAAGAAAGGAAGAATCGACTTACTACGGTTGTAATACGAATAAATACATATATTTAATTATTTTTATTTACATAATAATTGTTTGAAGCTCATATTCCAACAAATTTTTAAATAAAAACATTAAAATGTTGAAAATGTTCATATATTTTAATAGGGTTTTGGCACTTTATTGAGGAATTACTACATACATAGTCGAACTGAACTTGATATTTTGAAATTTAAATTATTTATCAAAATTAAAATTTAACTTGAAATTTATAATTATTTAGTCATATTTTGCATAATTCTAAGTAGATTTTGTAAAAAATCAAGAAAGAAAAATTTTAACGTGCTTTATTTTTTCTTTTTTATAATAATACATATTATTATATAATTAACATATTCATAATGTTTCACCCTTTCAAAAATATAATCCTCCTCCTCTCAAATAAACGTACATACGGGTGGCCTCTTTTTTCAAAAAATTAAAATTTGAAATTTTGGGCTCAAATATTAGAGATTTTTTCAACCTTCAACGATATATGTTGTCTATATCAGACCTCCTTTCTTTTTGATACTTAACATTGTTCCTAAATCTTAGCCGTTAAGGCTGTTCTGAAAATATTTTTTTTCGAAAAAATTCGAAAAAAATTCTTAAAATTCAAAAATCCCTTAATTCCTGAGGATTTTGGAAAAAAGTTTTTACATGAACATGTGTATATTATATGAAGTATATTGATAAGGTAAAAATCAAATTTTATTGCATATTCATCGAGAAAATAAACTAACGAATCCCTCAAAATTGAGAGGGTAATCCTCCTCCTCTCAAATAAACGTACATACGGGTGCACCCTTAAACCACATTTAAATAAAATATTATCATTTTGATGGATAGATTAATAAAAGGGTTTAAATGTTGTATTTTCAAATCTCCCATTGAATTGTAATTTTATGTAAATATTGTAGAGGAAATAAAAATTAATTAGTATCTGAAGTTTTAGATAGTGGTTGACGATAGGATTTAATTTTTCATAAAACGATAAATATGAGGATAAGATATATTTTACATCATATATTATGATATTTAATAAGGACTAAATTGGTGAATTGAATTCTATAAATCTCAATTCCGACCATTATTAGCTTATAACTATCTGATATGTATTATTAACATAATAGCAGAATTGAGAATTGTTTTAGATCTGACAGGTATTGTAATTGAAATTATTACAAACTTTTATTCTATTATTCGTAATTAATTATTTGAAGGGCCAAAAAAATCATTGTAATACGTCATTCAATATTCAATTTTTGTGTCATTTCAATTTTTGATAATCAATTTAACTGAATGTAATTGATAACATTTATGAAATAGTTTATTTGTAATAATCAATAAAATATCAAACTTTACTAATAATTTCTCTCAAAATCCCGAATCTGATCTACCGGATTTTTTCATATATTTATTCTTATTATCAGATTTTTAGACCGTCCCCATTCTTACATTAATGTCAGATCCAATTTTCTGAATATCGTCTAAAATTATCTTATTGAACTATTGTTAGTGAATTCTTTGCCTCTCTCTATCAATTGAACAGTATGATAAAAAATCTGATTTGCTAATCTGTTCTGTCAATTACTTCTATAACTCCTTATTGTGATAATCAAATGACTTCTTATACGGAACTGCTAGATTTAGTAATATTTCGGAACTTTTTCAACGTATTTTCTCAAAACTTTTTTCGCTTATGGTCGTTCGCAGCAAAACGGCATTATCGCATTGCCTTCAGATTCCAAATCTCCGACTTAAAATTGTAATTTCCTTATTTCACACAAAAACTTATCAGATAAATGTCATTTGCTCAATAATTTTAAACAACTGTGTTTCATCATTCTAATGCTGCGAATCGATGTATTGAAAAATGCATTGAATCTGAAAGATTTTCTCCGATTAATGAAATGGAATCCAAATATAGTAAATTACATGTCTTATTGTATGGCAAGTAAAAATCTTCAATATTTAATAAAGTTCAATCGCATTAAGAAATTATCAAATTTACACAGTACTTTGTCTTCTTTCGCTTTTATCAATATGTGTTGTGAACTCAATATTAATGTTCTTCATAAAAATTTCGTTTTCAAGACAAACTTAACATTTTACTTGTTGATTGCTCAAAAACAATCCATATATATATGTTAAATTATAGTTCTGTTGCCATTGCAATGTCATCATATTCATCAACCTCGTCATTCGCATTATGGTCAAGTATTGGAGGATATTTCTTGTCGAAAAGGATTTCTTCTTCGGCATATTCGATTTGGTGATTGATCTTGCCGAGCTTATCCAAGATAAAATAGATTATAATGGCTATAACAAAAACAGCTGCTGAAATCACGAAAATAATCCAGCCTCCTGTAGAGAAAATCAAGCAAATCATCGCTGCGACTTGAACAACAACTGAAAAGATATGGAGATAAGGGTAAAGGAAGGCTTTTGAAATGAGGTCTTTCTCAATTGTATAGCCGCGCTTTTTTAGCTTGAATCGGAAAATAATTTGGGAAATAATTATTCCGACCCACATAAGTGTTCCTGTGAAACCACTGATACCAAGTAGGGATCCGTAGAATGACATTCCGCTCTTTCCGAACAAGCCAAGAGATTGGGATGAGAACCCAAAGATGAAAACAATCCAAATGAAGACTAAGGTAAATATTGTTGCGTTAAGTGGCAATGAGTTCTTATTAAGGTTGGAAAGCCATTGGGGAGCTAAACCTTCCTTGCTTAAGCCGTAAATACATCTAACAGTACCATAAAGTCCAGAGTTGGCACATGAGAAAGCAGCAATAAGTGTAACAAAGGTAAATAATTGGCCAGCCCACTTTAATCCATAAGATGATAGGGCATATGCAAAAATTGATTCGTCAAGTGACGCCTTTTCATATGGAACAATAAGAATCAAGGCAAGAATTGGTATGAGATAAATTAAAATAATTCTTGTTGCCACTTTCTTGCATGCAGCTGGAATATTCTTCTGAGGATTTTCCGTTTCAGCTGCTGAGAGGCCAACAATTTCGGATCCTTGGAAGTTGACAAGTACAAAGATCATATATGTCACAATTATTGCAACACCGTTTGGGAATAATCTATGAGCTAATGATCCTTCACCTTGAGCAATAATCCTGCCGCCAATAAATCCAACTTCATTCTCTGTGAAAGGATGGACCTTCTTTCCGATCACTCCTACCCAAATGAAGAAAGCAATAACTACAAATAGGGCAATAATAGCAATCTTTGCAATTGCCATAGCGCTTTCAACATGACCAAACCAAGTGACTTTAAAGAGATTGATTACTGTCAATAGAACTAAGCATACTGCTCCCCAAACGAAATCGCTCCAAGCAGTATTCTTAAACGGGATTGTATAGTATGTGTTCATATAAGTTGCAAATGCAAGACATTCTGATGGGACGTAAACTACCCAATTGATCCAGAATGACCATCCAATGCCGCAACTTAACATGTTTCCTAAGAACTCTTTATTATAAGCCACGAATGATCCATGGCGAGGTAAGTTAACGAGTAATTCGGAGAATGACTGCATAACTCCAAAAACTGTAATTCCTGCAATTAAGTATCCAATTAACACAGGAAGAGCTCCCATTTCGCTGAATGTTAATCCAAGACCAAGGAAATAGCATGATCCAATGATGCCACCTAATGAAATCAAAGTTACGTGCCATGATTGAATTCCTCTTGCAAGGGATTTAGGAGATTGCTTTTCTGAATCATCATTTGATTTACTTGAATCAAGATTGATGTTTAGTTTTGAATCAGAGCTTGATGATTTTGTTTCATCAGACTTTATTGTTTCAGATTCACTGGTTTTCGGTTCATATTTAACTACAACTTGAGCTGTGCTGTTAGCAATAGTAGGAATAGACATTTGCAATGAGAAGAATGTCTAGCTTTCGCCTTTATTCTTTATATCGATTCATAAACAGATTTTCTCTCTCAAAAATTGAATAATACAAATTTTATCATATAAAAAACTGATAATATCAATGGATATTAAGTATAATGGTGATATGATAATTGAATGTCAAAAATCTAATCTTAGGAAAACATATTAAGTATAAGCAATACTATCAAATATCTTAAAAGCACGATTGAAAAACTTTCTCAAATCATCACTTTCATAAGATATCACACAAAATTTGAATAGTTTACAAAATTTATCGATTATTTGTAACAATAAGTATAATATAGTGAGTAATGATGTGTATTTCAATAATAATGCTATTCCTCTGAAAATTCATCGTTTTATCCATCTTTCACATCATAAAGTTAAATTAATTAGATTAATAGAATAAAATAATATCATAAGTATTTTTATGTGAGAATTATTTTTTGAATAAAGATCTCAATTGTAGTTGTCTTTATTCCCAACATAATTATTGTGTATTATTGTATTAATTGATTAATTATCGATTGAGCTTGAATTTTTTCAGATAAAGATGATTTAGTCTCTCAATTTTCCGAGATGTTTCAAAACTAAGCTGCTCATTTGACATCTTCTATTAAATTTTCCATTTCTAGAATGCTGTTTTATCATCGAATCTAACCATTTAATCTTGGCCTGATAATTCATAAAATACGCTAAAATTTTTCTTAATCTCTTACACAATTAACTTTTAACACATAAGATAAATTTACGAAGATGTTTTTAAATTAAGGATTTCTGTTATGGGTTTCAATTTCCTTATTTATTAATTTGAATTTAGAAAATCAAATTTAGAGTTTTTAATTTGGTCGAAAGATCCTATTATTTAATAATCTGTTTAAACATATCTCAATTTTGTCGAATTATTCAAGATTCTTTAATATTGAAATCAAAATTCATTAATTCCAAGTTGTAAATATAAAGACCTTTACCAGCATACCAAACATGTTCCACAAATTCTTCAACTTGACCTCAACTTTGAGCTTCGATTCTCTTGACTGAAAAATTTTTCAATTGATTTTATGAGAGCGAGGAGATCTTCCTACTCTTTGAAAGGATATAAAATAATTCAATTATTATATAATGGAGCAACCACACAAACATATAAAGTAGTAAGCGATGCTGGCCTCCAATTTGTTGCAAAATTTTTGCAAAAGAAAGATGAGCACGCATTGACTGAAATCGAAATTGTCAAGAAAATGCACCATAAATATATCTTAGAATTCAACAATATGCTAGAAACAGATACTGAGTTTGTTATGTTATGTCCGTTTTATCAATCATTAGCTTTGCATTATGTTCAGAGCATTGATGGATTTACACCACAAAGATTAGCGACATTATTCTATAAAATACTTGTTGGTCTTAAATATATCCATAATATGAAAATAATTCATGGTGATATCCGACCGGAAAACATAATTGTATCTACAGAAAATAATGAGGAAACACCTCATATCATAGATTTTGGCATTTCTCATTATGAAGGACAACCATTCGATAATACTTTAACAACTCCAGCATATAAGCCTCCAGAGCAAGACCTTACATTTAAATCCGATATATACTCGCTTGGTTTGGCGTTTTATGTTTGTTTTTCGCAAATACAAACTGCTTCCCAAATCCGAATGCATCAGCTATTTAGTGAAAAAGCTTGGGCATCATCAAATCCGTTGTTGATCGACCTCATCAAAAATATGATTGAGCGAGATGTAGAAAAAAGATTTTCTCTTGAAGATTGCTTGAACCATCCTTATTTTACAGAGCAAATCGATGAAACTACGCGTAGTACAATTATGTGCTGACTTTTTGTTAATAAATAGAGTATCTTCTTTAAATATTTTTTTATAATTGAATTTTAAAGTTTCTTTGGCACGTACGAATACTAAAATTAAACAGGCTGACGGAAAGATTATAAAATATGTTAATTTTCGTTGCTTTAGGCAATATATATTTTCTAAATTTGGTAAAATCCATTGGAAGATTGAATATTCTAACTTTGTTTGTCTTGTTTGTGTCGAAACATGCACCCAGAACATCTTTATTGTTACTTTTAAATTCTAAAAAAAATTGAAAAAATTAAAAATGAATAGCAAAAATATAAATTTGCACTGAAAATTTCAAAATTATCAAAAATTTGGAATTTTGATTATCTCTATTTTTATATATATTATAATTTTCTCGCCGAAAAATAGTTTTTTAACCTCTTTCAAAAGATTTGATATTCTATTCCTCAATGCAACTAGTTTCTATCATAATTCCTACTATCTATTCTTCATTTTGTTCCCATATAATTCTTTATTATCTTAAAAACAGATTCGCCGTTGACCCCGACACTTTTACCACAACTGAAAAATCTCTAAAAATTTTTTTTGTATGCTCTCGGTGAGAAAAGGTGAAAGATTTTTAATTTATAAAATGACAGACGCAGCAGAGCAACCAGTTCCACTTGAAGATATCCCACAAGAGAATACAGATGCATCAAACAACCAGCAAAATGCTCAGTCAATTCAACCAGAAAAAGCAGAAAATCCTACTAACCAAGCCAATGAGGCAGATGGCGAGCAGGAACAACCAGAACAACATGAAAATGTAATCTGGCATGCTATTAAATGGCTTGGATGGGGAATTTACAAAGTTGCATATCATTCCGGAGAATTTCTCGCTGATTTATTCGGAATTACTACACCAAGATATCAGTATGCACTTACAGAATATTATGAACGCGAAAGACAAAAAGCTTTACGCGAAAAAATGGAAGCCGGCGAAATCGATGAGAACGGCAACCCATTACCACCTAAGGAAGGTACAGCATAAATTTAAATGTAAATTATTTCTATAATTTGAAAAGATTGTTTATTTTCGAATTTCATTTCAAAATTACAAATGAAAAACAACTCCATCGAATAGGAGTTCCTGTAGTTTTTTGAAGTATTTATCACTTTGTACTAAAAATTCGAATATTAAATAAATAATTTATTAGAATGTAATATCTAACATTAATGTATTGAACAAACAAATCGTTAGTAATATTTATTTCTTCTTGCCTAAGCTTGCACGTGATTCTCCTTCATCAGAAGAAGATGAATCATCTTTGGACCTTTTAGGCTTTTGATCCTTTTTAATCATCTGCTCTATCTTCCTTTCTTGTTTGGTGGTCGCTGTTTTCTTTGCTTTGTTTGGATCTGCTCCTAATCCTAATCTTGATGGTCTTAATTCAACATCTGACTTCCATTCGGCTTTGTTGTCATCAGGGTTCTCTTGAACACCTTGGAAGAAGATTTTCATAAGCTCTTCTGGCATTGGTTTGCGCGCCATGTAAAATCTTTGTAAACTACTCAATTTAGGAAGCACAAAATCTCCTCAAAAGTGACGAGATTTTAATTCTAAAAAAAATAAGTCGCTAAATGACTGCTGGAGAGCCAGGTCTTTGTGTCAATTGCGGCGTTTTCACAAACTTATATGACGACAAGTATTGCGTTGATTGCTATAATGAAGCTGTTGAACAAGCGAACACTTATGATTACGAAGAAAATGCAGGTGTTTCAATAGAAAACCAGCACATTGATGATATCTGTTACGAAAGAAAGAATAATGGCGCTGCTCTTGACAGAATTATCCCTTACGAATATAAAAATTCACCAGAGAAATGTGCAATATGCCAGGATATGATGAATTGCGGAGAAACAGTTGTAACTCTTCCATGCGCACATACATTCCATGGAAATTGCATCTATCATTGGCTTAGAAACAATGATGATTGTCCAATCTGCCGTTCTGTTATTAATACCCAATAGACTAAAATAGAGATGTAATATATTTTCAATTCATATCCATATTTTTTCATAATTCCCATAATGTTATTGATATTTTAAAATTTTTATATGTATATGATCATTAGCTTTATTATATATGTTATTTTAACGGAAATGATTTATCCAAGATCGTTAATTACTATTTGGACCTATCGATAAAAATATATATTGGAAAATTTAGGGAAAAGTTAGAACATATTAAGCAGAGTTATGGGATAGGTGGTATAGTGGTTAATGGTCAATCATGAAGTCTTGTAGTGCTGCTAGAATACAGTAAAAACAATGATCGAATATTTCTCTAAAATTTATAACGGACAAATAAAAAAAAATATGAGCGGAGAACTAAAGATTATTGTAGCAGGACCTTTAAGCTGCGGCAAGTCTGAAATAGCAAACATCCTCTCTAACGCATCGAAAGGCTACACAGGAAATTATACACCAACAATCGCAGTCAGAATCCTCGAATTTTCAAGTGCATTAGATATTAATGGCATGCAAACATCTATTGATATTCAATTATGGGATACTAGTGGTGATGAAAAATATTCACTTACATGGCCAGCAATTGCTAAGGACGCTGATGGTATGTTATTAGTATATAATGGATACAAGAAGAAAGATGCTCAAGCTATCGAAAGATACTGCCGCGAGCTTGGTAAGGAACTTAGCTCTAAGCAAGTCTTAGTTGTTGCACATAAGATTGGCGAGTCTGAAGATAAGATAGCTTCTCCAAAGCTTCCAAAGGGCTTTGAACCAAAGATTGTTGCTGCTGATGCTAAGAACAACTTCAATGAATTCCAAGAGAAGTTTGAAACCTTTGCTGCAGAGTGTTATCAGATGAAGCTAAAGAAGATTGAAGAAAAGGAGAAACAAATGTTAGGCGAAACAGTTCAGAAGAAAGTTAAGAAAATGGTTGAACCAAAGAAGGAAGAAAAAACAGCAGAAGGAGACATTTCTCCTGAAGAGGATGAAGCAGATGCAATTCCTCCTCCATCAAAGCCAAAGATTGCCGATGATTAAATTGTCATTAACTGTAGATTTACTATTTTTTACGGACAGATATCGAATCTCTCAAATATTATATCGAGATACAAACTTCCAATATCATTTTTATACATACTACTAGTTATTATAAGTGATTAATAGTTTGAATTCTAATAATATTTCATATTTGAATGCAAAATCTATTGATATTAAGAATTTTACTAATATTAGTGGTGTATCTATTAGAAATTAAGAAAATAGTTGTTGTGGTTGCTTTGTTTCTAGCAAATTCCATAATATTACAAAAAATATTTTATGAAATTTTCTTAATTTTGAAATCTCAATAAGATTTAATGATATCTAATTGTAGTTCTAAGGATTTGTTGAGTTATTATGTATTGATTTTGAAAAATAAAAATTATTGATTTTGATATATATCTTCCCTGAATGCAGTTTATTCAGATTACCATAAGATGTTTTAAGCATCCCATTCCTGCTTGTTCTCCCACTCTTCGTTTGTGGCACCAGCCTTGATTTCAGCCTTTGGAACAGCGGCGTTGATGATGGCGCCCTCTTCAGAGACTGTCTCTTCACCCTCGGCTTCGAGAGCTTCAGCGATCTTAGCTTCATCAGCAGCATCACGGTAGAAGAAGAGATCTGGAAGGACAGACCACTCCTGTGTGCGTGTAAGAGCACCACGGAGGCGGAGAACCTCACGTGTGAGGAGCCACATTACGAGACCCATGGAGTTTTTGTTTTTTGTGTTACATGGGATGACGCAGTCGACGTAGTCGAGGTGAGCATCTGTATCGCAAAGAGCAATGCATGGGATGTTAGCGTAGGCAGCTTCGTGAACGGCCTGGGAGTCTGTGTTTGGATCGCAGACGATCATGAGGCGTGGTTCGCAGAAGTTCTTGATGGAATAGTTTGTGAAGAGACCTGGTGTGAAACGCTGCTCAACGTAGTTAGCGCCGAGGAATTCAGCGAACTTGTGGACAGCGCGTGTACCGAATGACTTTGTGGAGATAGCAAGAACGTCCTTTGGTTCTTCAACGGCGTAGATCATACGAGCAGCAAGTTTGATCTTCTCGTAGGTCATGGCGAGGTTGATAACATGTGTACCATCCTTTCTGCATGTGAAAACGTATGGCTTCATGCCGAAGGAAAGGTTTGTGGAACCGAGATAAACCTTAGCAGCAAGCATCATCTTGATCACGGCTTCGCGATCAGCAGCAGCAGCAGTAGACATTCGAAAAGGTCCGAACACACTTATTCAATTTCAAGAAACGACCATGGTTTTTTAATTCCCCATTTTACCCAGTATTATAACAAGAATACAGACCAACACATACACATTTACCCCTTTTATAAATATGGCCTACATTGTTTGTCTATAAGTTCTTCATTCTGGATATGCGATATATTTTTCCTCCATTTCAATGTAATTGAAAGAACTTTGGAGGAATACATATACATGTTTAATAGGGACGGGTGCAAAAAGTCCATTAGCATATAATATAATTCTGGCAAACCCAAATTTTAGCTAAAAGTGACAGGAAAAAAACGTTTAGTATTAAAAAAAAAGACCGATGAGAGCTTCGTTCGAAATATAGAGGGAACTGAGAATGCGCAACCATTCTCAGGGAATATTGGATGCTATTCCCGTTCCCTCTGTATGGAAAATTGAGGTTTTCAAAGGGAGTTAAAATAATATCAAATTTATACTAATTTACTTCAAAATACAAAAGTATTTGACAGCTAAAATTAGTTACTTTAGCAAGCCTATCAATACCCTTTTACGATTATTGCTACTTTTTCGAAATAAAAGTAAAAACAAATTTATACTAATTTACTTCAAAATACAAAAGTATTTGACAGCTAAAATTAGTTACTTTAGCAAGCCTATCAATACCCTTTTACGATTATTGCTACTTTTTCGAAATAAAAGTAAAAACAAATTTATACTAATTTACTTCAAAATACAAAAGTATTTGACAGCTAAAATTAGTTACTTTAGCAAGCCTATCAATACCCTTTTACGATTATTGCTACTTTTTCGAAATAAAATAAATTTATTATCAAAAACCTTTTTTTCTTAGTAAAAATAAACGAAATTTTTTACCTTATGAACTTTTGATGGAAATATGCAAATTTAAAATAATAAAGAAAGCCGCGAGCGAAGCGATCGGCTTAGTTCGAAGATTTTGATTCAAATCTTTGCTGATCTGTAATTCGCGGAAGCCGCGAGCAAATCGAGCGGCTTAGGTCTAAGATTTTGATTCAAATCTTTGCTTATATTCCTTAAATTCTTTATGAAACTCGCAACAGTTCCATAAAAAATTTTAAATTCTAAACTGTCGAAATTACCGATCGGTAATCACACCCTTCACGGGTGTGTCACTTTTTACAGGTGTGTCACTTTTAGCTAAAATTACCCCTACTCATATAATTCTTATATTTAGTAAAATTAAAGGCTATATTTCGTGAAAAATTGATTTTTTGAGTGGCAATAATATTTGTAACTATATAAAGTATCATATAAAAAAAAAAAAAAAAAAAAAAAAAAGGTATTGGGGCTTCCAGGCACTTCGTGCCCTCTAGCCCCGAAGATGTTTAGTATAAAACCGCTTTTTAACTTCACTTAAAATGCCACGTAAGCTACGTAAGAATATACGTAAGAGGAAGAGAGCATTGAAACATCCAATAGTAAAACTGACACCACAACAACAGTTGCAACAACAAATGCTGAATGACCCCACTATGTTGCAACAAATGTCAAGCAATCCTATGCTTTTAAACCGAGTTGTTGGTGCACAGAGTGGAGGTTTAAGAGCGGCACTTTTAGCGAAAATGGCAGGCTATGGTGGAGCTGCAGACGGAACAGCCTATAACCCTCAAAGTCAAATGAATTTGAGTTCACTCAAAAATCAAATAACAGATGTCAAAAAGTCAAACATAGACATACAGAAGCAAATAAGTGAAAACGAAAAGAAACTAGAATATGACAGACACACAAAGAAACTCAATGAGTTAAACGTAGAGAAAAAGAAGAAAGAAGAACAACTGAAAGAACTAAGTACAGAGGAATATGCGAAAAAAGTGTCAGAAAAAGCAGCAGAAGTAGCAAAAATGGAACAAGATGTCATAAATTTGAAAAACCATACTACTCAATATAAAATACTGAAAGATGAAGAGATAAAACAAAAAGCCCTGAAGACATATATGGATAGCGATGAGTATAAAAAAGAAGTTGAAGCAAATGTAAAGGCAGAAAAACTTTTACAGTTGCAAAACCAAACCGTACAGTATGAAAACTTAGCACAAGAAAGTAAAAATAACGACGCGGCTATGCAAAAGGCAATGAAAAGCTCAGAATATATAAAAGCTAACAATGACTGGTTAGATGCCCAAGCCAACGCTAAAGCAGCCCAACTCATAGGGTCAATAAGGACAAAAATACAAGCGGATGAGGATAGTTCAAATGAAGCTTTAACAAATGCTGACTTTAAGAACGCTTTCGAAGCTCTTCATAGTAAGGTGAAACAAGTGAACGACTTCTCATCTGGAAAGAAACTGAAGTCTGAAGGTTTCGACAAAGAGTTAAAAGAAGTAGCACAAAATATGACGAAAATAACAGATGCAGCAACGAGACAGGCAGTTCAAAGTGCCTATGACGCCGTTAGAGCAACTGTTGTGAAAAGTCAAGAAAAAGAGTTACAACAGACCAAAACAGACCTAGTAAATGCTTTCTTAAGAACGAAAAGTCAGGTAGGACATTACGCTGCAGATGGAACATATGTGCCAGCTGGTGGAACTTATATACCACCAAACCCTCCAAGAGAAGCACCTGCACCAGGACTACCTAGAACATTTACATCGTCACATGGACACAGACACAGGCATGCACCAAAACCAACACAACAACCAACACAACAACCAGCACAACAACCACCTCCACAACCAGCACAACAACCAACACAACAACCAGCACAGCAACCAACAGTTCAAAACCCTGCACAACAACAACCACAAACAGAGCAAGGACATAAAAGAAGTAGAGAACAAGGAAACCAAGAATTCTTAAAAATGCTTAAAGAAGAGTGTGGTTTCCCAGATACTGTTGACTTTAGTGACAGATATAAAGAAGCTATTGGAAAGTTCAAGGATGGAAATACTGACCCGAACCTATTTAGCTTTATGGCTCAGCACCAAAGGGGATATAATCTCAAACCTGGAAAATACAAGCTCGCTAAGGGATATGATTTAATAGCATATCATCCAAATGAAATGAACGAATTTACTCCGAGATATTTGATGTCAGAGCTAAATGACAATTCAACTTTCGTCATGAAACGCGTAAAAAATAGAGACGGAACGAAAGAACAAAAGCTTATGAATGCGGATGACGTAGATAGGGAAATTGTTGAAAACGGTCTCGGAATATATGAAATGCCAGCAGATGAGGTACAAGAAACTCCACAGGAAGAACTAGTTCAGATACAACCAGACATGGAAGAAATAGTTCAGCAACAACAGCTAGAAGAGCCTGAAGGAAACGAACAAGTCCTTCCTTTGGAAACTAACTTCACAGAACTAGATGAAGATTTGGAACAGCCGAAAAATCTTGACCCTCAACAAGAGTATGCGGAGAATATGGAATATTTCCAAGAGTCTAAAAAAAATTCGGCTGACATAGTAGAAGAATATCGAAAAATGTTTGCCGACATACAAAAGACTCCAACACCAGATGAAAATATTCAGCATAGAATGGAAGTACTGAAAGAAAATGTACACAAATACAACAACCCTTTTTACTTACGAGCATTTAACGTTCAATCTTCGGATGAACTCGGTGAAAATAAAAGGTTAAATTTCAAGAAAACATATAGAAATGAAACATTGTTTAAAGTTCATTCAGAACCTAACCAAGATGGAAACAAACCTACTTTTGTTTCTGCAGACGATGGAACTACAATGAGATGGGGTCATAAAGCTAATCCGGATAGGTGGTTCATAAACTTACAACCACAATTCCAAGAAGTTGTAGACGCAATGGAAGTCAATGGTGAACGAGACATAGCTGGTATTTTAAGCGCGGCTTTAATGCCATTGAAAGATATGAAACATGCAGATATTTTGGACCAGTATGAAATGAACATGGCTGATGGAAATATAACACCTGACGTTCTAGAACATTTATCTCAAAGAACTACACAGAACCATAGAGATGGTATATTTGGTGAAGAGTTTAGAAAGAGAGTTAGGGAGAGAGAAGGAAGAGAACCTATTGTACATGACCTTGCAAACGAAAGTTTACAAAATGTCATAAAAACTTACTTTGCAGACAATGAACCGAGAAGGGATGAATATTTAAGAAAACTCAAATGGACAGTACCAAATGAAATGTTAGTATTGAAAAACATGTTCCTTGACAAAATAAAACCAACTACAGAAATAAACGACGCAAGACTGAAAGATTGGGTAAAAGCTTTCCCATTCACAAAAGATATTGTTGGTAACATGGAAAGAAAACCAAATGGCTACAAAAAAACATATATTTGGAAACGAGCATATTCCATATGGACAGGCACTGTTTGAAGAGCTTGAACCGGAAACTCAGGACAGAGTCATGCAAACAATACGCGAAGACTCAAATACAAACTATGACAAACTCTTTCTAGGATATAGGTTACCTGAGATGGGCGACCAGAGCCCAAAGGCAAAAAGGCATGGAAAATTTGCAACATACTAGATGAACATGAGGCAAAGATGCAACAACTTGAAGCAGAGGGCAAGTTACCAAAGCGACACCAAAGAAGAAGAGTAGAACAAAGTGAAATAGTGAAGAAGTAACTTCATCTAGTGAAAGTAGTGGCAATGAAGGAAAAAGAAGAGTTAAAAACTCAGTCAGGAAGAAAGTAAAGCTTGGTCGGAGTGGGTTCTATTATGACATATAAATCCAACTATTCTATATTTTTACTCATATGAAATGTACGCCGCTCAGAATATAACGCCAACAGTTTTGGATGCCATGAATGGAAATGTTTCCGAATGGTATAACGAATGCGACAATGCCATTAGAAGGTCAGAAATAGTTCCTGGAACTTACGAATATACAACTGCTGTTTCTTATGGAAAACGTAGGTGAGTTTGGAGAAGGTTCTTCAACAACAGTAGATATTGCTTGCGACAGGTTTCATATAATTTCTATTGACAACTCATTCTTATACGTGGAACAAGACATTGAAA